TATCTCTACATATAATTACGTCATCAACAGTGTAGTTGATGATGACAAAACCTTGTCGAAACGTTGTACATTTGCTGTCATGTTAAACTTATATTAAAGTTTTTCTTCATTACCCATTTAAGCCGTCTCCAGCCATTATTAATTTTTGTATAAGCTGACCTTCGTCCAGTTTAATCTGTATTTCTGACCACTTCTGTTTCGTCATTTTCCAGGCTTGACTTGACCCAACCACACCTGTGTTCTTCCCATTCTGCATTTATGTATATTTTTCCCAGTTTTTTCTATTAAAGCATGGAAAATTAAGTCACATAAAATCACCTGGAATGATTCCAATTTCGGAGTTTATATTCGATATCACTTCCCTCATGAGACAAAAGTAAAGGGAAGAACAAGCATTGATTGAATTTTGTGATGCCAAATTAATTAATCTATATTCAACATGCTTTGCAGAACTTGAGTGTTTGATTTCCCTAAACTGACTCTTGGTTATGGTCTTCACTGCATGGGTGAACTACCCAAAAAACAGTGGCAGGTGCCACCCCTGAATTTGTTTTTCTTCCATCCCGCCTCCCCTAAAATTTCCAATAAAAAAGTTTAATAAAATCAACATCCCCCACAAAATAATATCTTCAGTTACTAGGTAACCCTACACACGGAAAATTCACCAAACAAAATATTATATAATCTCTGGTTAACTTTTAGAGCTTTATCTTCAATAAGTTTCTCTCCACGTGTCTCTAAAAAATATCGCCCTCCAAGTCCATTTGTCTGTCACCCTTACGCCTTCCCACTTTCAAAATCCTGAAGTCAACACTACAAAAAAAAGCAGTTGAATTTAACTTTTAAAACTTCAAAGAAACATCAAACATTAATAAAATAAACATATGTTATTTTTTATGTAACTGAAGTATTGGTTAAGGGATTTACGTTTTTCTGAATTTTATAAAACTTTTCATTATTAAATATCTTTAGAATTTAACTGAGACCTTTTATTGCAGATGATAAGTGTTTTTGCAGAGATATTGAACAGTACAGAAAAGCCAACTACTTGAACATTTGTACAGAAATATTCACCCTCCTTTTCTCTCGATGAATGTCCTCCGCTGGGACAGCGATAAGTCTACGGATTTAAAACGCTAAAATCAGGGGTTCGATTCCCCTCTGTGGACACAACAGATAGCTCGATTTGGCTTTGCTATAAGAAAAACACACCCTCTCGATGTAAAAGATACTATTCTGTAAACGTGTTCAAACGATTTTGGATAATTTACTTCGATTACTGCAACTCATTTTTAATTATTCACTCAAAACAAATATCTGCGTTGTTATTGGAGAGGATCATCTACATTGTTTAGTTTCGTGTCTAAACAGTGTTTAAGGATTTTTTAATTCGACATGATCAAAGCGAGGTATTGAAATGTATAGTTTAATATTTTGATGTAACAGTTCTTTGGTGAGTAACGCTTTACACGTAAGTAAGTCTAGAAGCTTGTTTGTATTGTTTTTCTGAATTTCACGCAAAGCTACACGAGGGCTATCTGCGCTAGCCGTCCCTAATTTAGCAGTGTAAGACTAGAGGGAAGGCAGCTAGTCATCACCACCCACCGCCAACTCTTGGGCTACTCTTTTACCAACGAATAGTGGGATTGACCGTCACATTATAACGCCCCCACGGCTGAAAGGGCGAGCATGTTTGGTGTGACGGGGATTCGAACCCGCGACCCGCAGATTGCGAGTCGAATGCCCTAACCACCTGGCCATGCCAGGCCTTCTTATAATGCACTCACAGTCGTTAATACCCATTATGTCTAAATTTCTAATGGGTTAGTTTTCGTAGTACACTTTTACTGAGAACCCCCTAGAAGAAAAGTAAGTCTTAGATTTAAATCCTACAATCATGAGTCGGTCGTGCAGAAATATCCATGTTTTAATAGTACCTTTTAACAACAGAAAATTCGCTAGACCACTTTCTCATATTAAACTTAACATAAGTTTAGGGTTCAATCTCTTTCTTCGAAAAACGCAATGAAATTCTCAAAATGTTGTAATGGTGGTGATGAAAGGTTTTCCCAAAGAAGGTTACTTTTGCTGAGGGCCATTTCATTTTGACCTTGATTTGTACCGTAAGAATAGTTCATGACATCTAGAATACTCTGCCCACTTAGTAGAAATAACAATACATATTTTTCACTTATTTCAGCATGATTTAGTCGTTAGGGCGCTCAACTTACAAACTGGGGATCATGGAATCGAAACAAAAATTTACAATTTTAATCAAAATTACTACACATACATAGTTTAACTACGATGCTAAGTTTACATCATAATAAGTGCAATTTTTTTGTGAAATGTAAGAGGGGCAAATTCCTCCTCTTGCCCCTTCCTGAGGACGCCCCTGATTTCAGATGCTAATAAGGTGCTGCGTAAGTCATACTTTCGTGGTAAATTGAGTCCAGCGATCGAGCAACATTTGATATTTTTGCCTTACATAAAAAAATTGTGAGGATCTAATACTAATCAAATTTTGGCTAAATTGAAGTTTGATGGATAATTTAATCCCAGTGAAAAAGCAGCGCTTTAATCATGTCATCTTACTTTGGGAGATTTTGGGATTAAACTGGAAGTGCTGGGCAAATTGTAATATAAGTTGAAGTCCAGAGATAAAGCAGCGTTTTAGTTTCATTTTCACTCTACATTCGAGAAGTTGCTGTATTATTTTAATCACTCATACACTGCGTACAGGAATTTTCGACACTAACCAAATGTTGGTTGAATTACAATATGATAAAGCGAATCCTAGAAATACATTTTTTCGGTAATAATCAAGTGCTGAGTAAATTAATGTATTTTGGTAAATTGAATTACAGTAGTGAAATAGGATTTTGGTTATCGTTACGCTATATTTGTTATTCTATTATACTTTAGAATTGCTAGGTAAATTACGGTAAAATGAATAACTGTGATGAAGCAGTCTTTTAGTGACTCTTACCTACATTTGGGTATTTTCGAAAATAACAAAATAAAATAGCTAACTTATTGTGTTATTTTGAATTGAATCCCAAGAATAAAGCAGCGTTTTAAACACATTTACCTAATATTTGGGAGTTTCTGACATTAACCAAATACTGAAAAAATTGTAGTGTTATGCTATACTAAATCTCAGTAATGATTACTGTTACGTTACACTTAAGATTTTAATGTATTATGGTTAATTGTGTTTCAGTGATAAAGCAGCATCTTAGTTATTCTTACCTTACTTTTCAAGATTTTGGATACTAATCAAGTATTAGGTAAATCGTGTTATATTGTGGTTGTGTTCCAGTGATGAAACAGTATATAGATTCTCTTACCTTACCTTTGAGAATTTTCTATACAAACCAAATTATTTGTCAAATGGTATCAGATATTTTTTAATCTCTATTAATCGTAATAAAACACATTAATACTAATGTTAAAAGGCTTATTAATTTTCTCCCTGGAATCGATTTTATTTGATCTTAACTATGACTTCATAATAAACACTTACTTAAATGGTGATGATAAATTGTTGGAGTTAAACACACTTGTTAATGGGTCAAAATCCAACGCTGAGTAATTACAAGTTGTAAAATTGAAGTCAACAGGTGACAATGGTGCATCGAAATCAGAAAACCCCAAGTTATGGCCGCTGTCGCCGCCGGTACCTTGCAACGTGACGGGAGAGAGAGGGCGAAACATGTGCCCATTTGTAGGTATCCTCCATGTCTCTTGTCCGAGGTTTAGATTGTTGGGAGTGTTACATCCGTTCATGTTATAAAGTTATTCGTCGAGAAAACCTAAAAATGCAACCATATTAACCTTTACTTATTCAAAGTTTTCTCTTTAATATCAACTGGACCTCAAAAGATAAATTGTAAAGGAATCCATAAACATGTCTTAGCATATTCATTCCAAATTAACGAAACAAAACGTCTTCTAGAATAACTAAAATGTTTCCAGAGGCCTCGCTGAAAGCTCTT